CTGGGAGCTGAGAGGCTCGGGGCTGCTGGCAGGGGGGAACCCTCCAGAGAAGAGCAGGTATGGGAGATGCCAGGGCGGCCCGGAGACCAGGCTTTGGAGAAGTCCAGGAGGCTTTGGAGAAGGGACCGGAGAACTCAGGAGAGGGCTGGAAGAGCCGCCCCTGACAACTCCAAGGGAGAGGCCAGCCTTCCTTAGGGACAGCGGAGGCCGGTTGTCAATCACCCGCCTGTGGGCTGGACGTGGCCCGCAGACTTCTGAGCTGTGACGTTCGGTGGTTTTAGAAATGCGTATTAGTTGCCAGCATTTGGTCTTTGGGAGATTATACTGTTGAGTCAAATGTCTATCTTCCTTTGAACGGGAACCTTGGACCCACGGCCCTCGACAGACTGGGTGGTGGCTGGCCCCTCAGATGGGTACTGTGCTTCCCCCGTCGTCTTGTGCCCCAAGTATTTCCCGAATTTGGAAGCCGGCCAGGCCCTGCGGACCTGTGTGTGTGTCTGACCTCTGTTTAAAGCACACCCTCACCACAGCCTGAACACGGGTCCTGGGGTGGAGGAGACCCAAGCAGAGTGGGTGTGGACCAGCACCCACTTGGCCCCGCTTCTCTGATGCTCTGACAGCCCTCAGAGGAGACATTTGTGGGAAGGGGACTGAGACATGCCCCCTGGAAGGTGAAGAATCAAGAGGGTCTGCAGCCCATGGTCCACGCAGGGGGGACTCAGAGGCTCAGTCCTCTGGTGCTCTCACTCCCAAGAGACCTTCCGTAGAGACTTGTCTAGCAGTCCTGGGGCTGAGACACAGACCCCGACCCGGGGGGGCCCAGCCATGGTGCGTCATACCCCCATCACAGGGTTGGGATGGGACAGGGGTCCGAGGCCAGCCAGGTCATTTCCCCACTTGTACCCAGGACTCGTAAGCAGAAGAAGGAGGCTCGTAAACTATTTCCCTCTGTCTTTGAAAACAATCCTTCTTGCTCCCACCTGGCTGAACGGGGGCTCTCCGACCTCCCTGGTGGTGGGGACATTCCTGGTCTCTCTTAGACGCTCTGCTTCTGTCTCTACCTCCGCGCCTCCCCCAGGACCTCTCTGGGCCCCCCCTCTGCCGCTGCCCACTCCGGAGCACGCAGCCACCTTCCCATCACCGTCACCGGGGAGGACAAATGGCCTCATTCAGGGACACCCTGCCAGATCTGTCTCTCTAAGACAAAGCTGTGCGCAGCTCTGCGTGAAAAATGGCTCACGGCCGCCCAGTGAGCGGGCGGGATCGGTGGGTGCAAATTGCAGGGGATTTGTTAACGCTTGCCAGCTTCCCCAGAAACAGCAGGGCAGGCGGGCCCTTGCCCTTGAAATGCCAGGCTGCCGGGCTGGGCGCCTTGTCAAGGCTGGGGACAGACTTCCTCCTGGACACCGGCCCCCACCCCCACATCTGAGCTCAGCAGAGCTGGGCGGTGGGGGAGGGATTTGGCTTCCTTCCTCCTGCACTCCAGGGCAAGTCCCGCTCAGGAAAGGGCTCTGGATTTCATCACCGGCCCCTGGGAACCGACTCATGGTCAGCCCTGTTTAGTGGATGAAACCTGTTCACAAGGCTTGCTCACCTCCTGCTGATTCACTGCTGTAGGAGAGGCCACCGGGGCGCTTATCGGCGTGCCCATTTTATAGAGGAGGAAACGAAGGCTCTGACGGGAGAAACAGACCCAGGCCGCATGACTAGTGGCGCTGGAGGCAGGGCTTGGGCCTCCACGTGGTCAGGTCTGGAGCACAGGGAGCCCTCCCCCTTCTGAGTGACCCTGAGGGAGCAGGTGGGGTAGGTCGTCCTGGGCCAGCGGCCCCTGGCTCTCCTCCCCTCCCCCAGCTCCCTGAGGCCTGAGGCCTGGGATCGGGTGGCCTCACTCTGCTCTTGGAGAAAAAGAACAGTGGGGAGGAGCCCACGTGACAGGGTTTGTGGACACAGCGTTCCCAGGCTAAGGAATGGGGGAGGAGGGGTAGCTGTGATGGTATCCCTGGGGTTTTCGGAGTGAACAGTGAGGAGCAGGGCAGTGCCATGGAAGAATGGGGGTGGGAGGCAGATTTGGAAGTAGCTCCAATGCCTTGGAAACGAGATCTGGGTATTTCGATGGCCACTCCACAGTCATTAAAAACCAGGTCTCCCCCAAGAATTACTATGTGGAAATGCTTGCGATATAATATTAATTTTTAGAAGGGTAACCAAAAATGGTTAAGTTCATTGTGACCTCAACCAGGTGCACAGGAAACAGAAAAGAATATACCAAAATGTCAACGTATACATAATGGATCTATCTGGAGGGGTGGGGAGGGGCGGGTGACACTTGATTTCCCACATTTCCTGCGGGGAGCACAGATTCTGTCTCGAAGCAGAAGCAGCAGTGGACATTGTTGGTTCCTTCGGTGTTTGGCTGGCGTTGGCAGGGGTGGAGCGAGACGAGAGTGCCCTTGTCTCCAGGCTGGCTCAGCAGTTTTCCCAGAGCAGCCCTCTCTGGTTCCCCGGGAGCCCCGGGGGGCAGGCCTCTGCTTGTCGGGAGGCCATTCTTCCTGTCTCCCTCTCTTCTGCAGGATTAGCTCATTGCTGGCTCCCCCACAGAGCCCGGGTGTGCAAGGACACAGCTGCTTGAGGCCCAGCTGGCGTGGGTCTGCTTAACAGGCCTGTCCAGAATGAGAGGGGGGCAGAAGGCTGAGGGCATCAACTTATGCAGGGGAGGGGGAAGGTGCATTGGGGGCCAGGACCCTGACAGGCAGAGTACAGAGCCCTCTCAGGAGGGGGCACTGCTTCTCCTACCTGGACCCTCACAGCCCCAGTCCAGGGCCCCAGCTGGGACCTGCACACCCTCAGGCCGCATGACTGGGGTGGGGGTCCGTGAGGGGAGGGCGGGGATTGATGGGGCCTCCTCCAAGGGGAAGGCGAGGCTGCCGGAGGCTCCTCAACCAGATGATGTGTGTCTGAGTTTGGGTTCTCCCTGATGCAAAGTGCAAATCGAACACTGTGGCTCAAGAGGTTTATTGAAGCAGATCCCTGAAAACAGCGGTGGAGAAGCAGGGAAGGACAGGGAAGGGAAGGAGTTCAATGACAAGGTGTCATTAAGCACAGTACCTGCTATGACCCCCTACCAGGGAGCTCTGGGAGACAGGAGAATGCGCCCCTCAGCCTGAGAGGCAAGGATGAGGAATTATTTACTCTGTGGTTGGCGGCCATTATTGGGGGAGGGCTGCATGGGGTCAGGGTCAGGGTACACGCACTCGCCTTGGCCATGGTATCTGGCAGGGTCAGGGGTGTGTGATGAGGCACCCGCGGGGCCAGAGCAGGGCGCTTTCCCCATTTCCCTCATTTGCACCCCATCCCCCGGTCCCTGCTGTATTCCAGCCCTGCTCCTAAAGCGATTATATTCTTTGTATTGATACCCACTGATTTTAACTTCAAGTTAGAGATTGCAAGAGGCAACTTTATATCTTATATGCTGCCGCACCTTGCAGACTAGTCTTCCTTGCCACATTTAGAAGCTCACTGTCAGCATCAGGAGGATAGAGCCGATGTCCTGTGTCTGTGTGGAGCCCCAGGTGCCTTGTCCAGGGCTCCAGCCTGGGCCAGCTCTCTGCCGGTTAAAAAGAGAAGTGGGGATTTAGGAAATTGGAAGTCCCCTCCTTGAAATAGCAACACCCCAAACGTGGGAAGAGATCTGACGTGGCAGGTAGTTTTCTCGTTGGGTCCCGTGACCACCTAAGGCCTCTCAGGGGCCCCTTGGCCCTAGTGCACACCTGAGGGTGCTCCTGTCGAAGAGGAATAGTCCTACTGCCCAAGGCCACGGGGGCGCCTGGGTGCCACCTACTGCTGGGCCCCTCCCAATCCGTTTCCTCCGTACTCCAAAGCGTTCACTCCTTTTCTCTGCCTCTGTGACTCCAGGGTGAATGATGGAATCGTGGGTGTGAGAATACCTCTTAAAAGAAAAAAAAAAATACTAAACTGGAATTTTCAGGGCAAGGAATGATCCTCGGCGTGTCCAGGCCCACTCTGTGCCAAGCACAGAGGCTACAAACGTATATAAATGCACCACACACAGCCTCTGCTCTCGAGATTTGAAATAAATGAATGCTCCCATTCTGTGGGTGAGAAATGATAGTAATCCTACCCACAAACTCAGCCCTTTACACAGCCTCCCTTGTCTGGCCCTGTGAGATCCCCAGGGCGGGCTTATCCCCACTGAAAGAGGAGGGGACTGCAGCTCTGAGGGGTGGAGGAGTGGTCTCTGCAGGAGTAGAAGTGGGACGGATGCTCTGGCCGGCCCATCCCGGCTTCTCTGCATGTGTCCCCTGTGGAGTGGGCACAGCCTCTTGGGAGATGCAGGGGCACAATTCCCGCCTTCCAGGCACCCAGGCTGTCCCCCTGCAGCCACAGTGCTGCCCCAGCCCAAAGGCACATTCACAAAACAACCCCCGCTGCCCCGGGGTGCCCCGAGGATGCCATGGCTGCCCGAGGAGTTAATAAAGCCATCGGCAGCAATTAATTCTGCAGAGGAAAGAGCCAGGTAAGAGGATTAAGGAAGCCAGAGCTTTGGTTTTAGGACGGAGCTTAGCATTCCCGCTAACAGAGGAGGGATTTCAAGGGATCCGCGGGCGCGAGAGTGAAATGGAGCAGGAGCTCGGTGGAAAGCGGGTGAGGCGGTGATGGTGGTCGTGGGCCTTCTGAAGCCAGCTTTGCCAGCCACAGCCTTATAAATACTTTCCGGGTTAGACAGACGGACCGGTGGGAATTAACAATGGTGTCAGTGGCGGGACCGTCCGTCTTGCCTGTTTAGATTTACAGGATTGTCTGTATTGGCCAAGCCAATCTGATTTATTGCCCCTTTCAGTCACTCTGATGCCCACCGTGTGGTCAGCATCTTCCTGGTGCTGGAGCACTCACTGTGTGTGGCAGCCACGGACCCACTTACCCCACACGATGATCCCAGACCCTTACCTACCCATTTTCCAGATGAGGAAACCGGGGCTGGGCCAGAATTGTGGGTCAAGCAAGAATATCTGACTCTGAAGCCACGGGCTGCCCCACGCTCTCTATGAACAGGTTGAAATGAAGTCACGTCAAGATCACCTGAATTGCTTGCAGGGGGAGGTACTAAGTATTTGACAATGATCTGTCCTTGTTGGTAGGTCGAACAGCCTCCTGTCTTTGAGCTCTTTCAATACTCAGAGTCCCATGGATGGTGAGTGGCAGAGAGCCTCACTCATAGTAAGCATTCCATACCTGTCTGCTGTTATAATCGAAATGCCCCAATTTCAAATATTTTTCCCAGAAACCATTCAGGCATTAAGTGAGTGACCTTATGTGCAGTGCTCAGAACAGGACTTGGTATGTAGGAAGTGTTGTATGCATGTTAGCAATTTATGCCAACATGGTGGCATTCAGACCGTCTTAGAATGCCTCTTGTACCTGGAAGTAATACAAAAGCCTGTGCCCCTCCCTGTGTTGTGATTTGGGGTCTGGGAAATACAGAATCTGTATGTGTAGAGAGGGCAAAGGTAAATGCAAACCGTACCCACCTCCAAGGGGGTAAGAGATGAGTAGGGTGACAGCTCCTTCCTGAGGCTCCAGGAGAGGTTCACGTGGGGTCAAGGGCACATCTTCCTTCCCCCAAGAAGAGGAGGCTGAATCCCAGAGGGGAAGGCAGGCTGCCTGTAGGAATGGAGGGTAAAGAGCTGGCTGAGGGAGGCCGGGCAGGGCCAGCAGAGCCTGGTCTGTGCCTTGGGCTGGGGAAGTTTGAGATCTTCTTTTTACCCCCAGCAACCCCTCCCAAAATTCTCTCAAGAGAGAAAGTAACCTTTAGAGTATTGTTTATTGAGGTTCTGCTTCATGCCAGCCACTGTGCTGGGTATTTTATGAATATCAGCCCTGATACTCACGAGGGGCCAACCCATTTCATAGACTGGAACCCTGAGGCACAAAGAGAGGTATCCACTTGCCCAAAGTCACTGAAATCTTTTCTAACAAAGCAAGGGACAGTTCAATAGATGGCTCTAAGTGGATGGATGTTTGATGAGTTGAGATTGAAGGGACGAAGGAAAGAAGAGAGAGAAGGAGAGAGGAAGGGTGTGGACCGGGGCCTGCCCCTTCTACCTCTCCCTGGTCATGTCTTTTCTCTCTGGGATCAGGTTCTTTGTGAGCGACCCCCTTGGCTGATCCCCAGGGCCCATCTGGCAAGCAACCTCAGAGAGGAATTTCTTGGCCAACAGACCCTGCCCTCCTGCCCCTCATCGGCTGGCCCTATCAGCATGCACAGCAGAGCTAGGGCTCAGGAGAGGCGAGGCCTTAAAAACTGTAGGTCTTGGCCCATAGGCCCCTGGTTCTGCTTGCCTCCACATTCTCAGCCACCCTCAAGTCAGACCCAACCAAGCTTCTGGGATAAGACAGATCTCAGGACGTGCAGAGCCGGAACCTGGACACTGGAGTAGGGACAGCATTGGGCAGGGGTCTAAGCTTCTAGGCATCAGGATCAGGCTGACCTAGGCCTCAGCCCAGCCCCATCACTCCCATGCCACCTGTGCCCCCCCCCCCGTCCCTCCCCAGCCACATCTCCTAGCCTCTCACGAAATCATCAGCACGGAGCCCTTAACACAAGCCGGCGTCTCAGAAGGGCTCTGTGCATAATCATTCAGATTAAGCCTTGCACTGCAGCGCGGGCTCTGGACCCTGCTCGCTAAGTGACTTTATGCAGATTGCTTCTCTTCTCCAAGCTTGGGGTCCAGCAGATCTAGAATCCGGGTCTCCTGGCTAGAGAGGCAGCAGTTGTCTCCATGGCAACCCAGCTGCCTCTCGGGGGACCATCTGGATCACATCACCCTGGCAAGGTGCTGCCCAGGCAATCAGGTGTTCATGTTCCGCAGTGGAGGCTCTGCAAGGTGGTAATTCCCCTCGCTGGGGACAAGGCCGTGGCCAGGCAGCGGCTGGAAGGAAGCATGGCACCTTGGCCGCACCTGCTGCCCTTGCTCTTCCTGCTTCCTGAGAGAAACACACCTCAGAGCTTGGAAACTCAGGCCAATGACTTTCCTTGGAGAGCTGTTAACAGTTGCTCCTTTATATTCCTAGGTACGTTTCCTGGCTTGTCCAGGCTGGCCGGGTGGGAAATGCTGCCTGGGGCTGGACTCCTGTAGGGAATTCCAAAGGACCCAGTCTCACCTGTTTGGGATGAAGACTACTATTGTCTTCTGGCAGGAAGCAGGAGTATTGGGAGGGAGGAGTGAAATGAAGAGCCTGCCTTTCAAACAGGCACATAATTATGACAACAGAAACTCGGTGCAACCTATAAACAAAATTCACCCCTTCAACAAAGGGCATGGGCGCTTGTTAGATGCAGACTTTGTGATTAGCACTTGGGTAATCCTGGAAATTGTACCCTCAAGGAGCTTACAGACCCTAGTGCTCAGGAAGAGGACAGGGTCAATAGACCTGCATCAGTAGGGGGTGAAGCTGAAATGGGGTGATGTGGGACCCACTGGGGCCAGTCCCTTCCAGCGGGCAGCTCCCAACCCAGATGGGATCGGACAGTTCAGAGATGGTGCTCTGCTATCGCTTCACGTCACTGAGCCCCTTGACTTTTTTTTTCTTTTTAAAAAGTTTTTATGTTTAATTTATTTCTGAGACAGAGAGACAGAGCATGATGGGGAAAGAGCAGAGAGACAGAGATATACAGAATCCCAATCAGGCTCCAGGCTCTGAGCTGTCAACACAGAGCCCAACGTGGGGCTCAAACCCACGAGCGTGAGATCATGCCCTGAGCCAAGGTCAGAGTCTTAACCGAGGCCTTAACTGAGCTACCCAGGCACCCCGCCCCTTGACTCTTAAAACAGCCCATGAGGCAGAGTTCTATCCCCTTTTCCACTTGGGGAAACTGAGGCTCAGAGAGTGAAGTGCATGCCCAGGGTCACAGAGCTGGGCAGTGGCTGGGCAGAGATCAGAACTGGGGGGCCCTCTGCCTCCTCAGGGCACCCTTTTGGGGGGGGTCGCTGCTCTCCTGGTGGGGTGCCCAGAGAGGCTCCATTTCCTAGATGTCTGAGGCTTCCCTCTAAGCTGAGCAAAACAGTCCTCTGCCTCTGTCTTTTCTCCCTCTCTCTCTCTCCCTTTCTCTTCCCCACCTCCCTTCCACTCCCCTCCCTCCCTCCTTTCCCTGTCTCCTTCTCCCCCACTCTCCCTGACTGTCTTTCTCCCGTCTCCTTTCCTCCCTCTCCCTCCCTCTCCCTCTCTCCTTCATTTCCTTTGTCTCCCCTTTCCCCTTGGGACCGCAGCTCCATGCGCCACTGGGCAGGCTGCAGCTCAGCCCTGCCCTGGAGTCACCTGCAAGCTCTGGGTCCACAGGTGCACCGCCCAGGTCCTGCCCCCACCCAGCCCTACGCTGCGCCCCCAGAAAGGCCCGCTGCTGGGTAGGGCTGCCCCCCCCCACATACCCTCCACTGAGGAAGTGACATAATTGCCTGTATTCCCATTTCCTCCAGGCTCCCCACTCTCAGATGTGCGCCCCAGATGTTTAGACTCACTTCCTCCCAATTAAGCGTCTGCTGGGAGGCTGGGAGGCCAGGAGGCAAGGGCTGGTGTGTGTGCGCTCTCACTCTCCAGCAAGGGCTTGGAAGGGAGAAAATGGGAACCCACCCTCCTGGGGACAGACGGGAACTGGCTTGCTACTGAGCTCCGTGGGGAAGCTGAGCGGCTGGGAAGTGCGGCCAGATGCCCCTTAGCTTGGCTGCCAGCCCAGCCGCTGTGAAAGCGCTGGCCCCTCGGCGGTCTCCGGGGGAAGATCTTCCAGTGCCCAGCCCCTGGGGACAGGCCTCCCTTGTCTGTTCATCTCCTCCCTCATAAAGAAAGAGGAGGAAAAGGGTGCTGCCCCCTGGAAAGAGCAAGGTCAGGGAGTGGGCAGGTGACCCCACACACTGGGTCTGTTTCCTCTGAGGCACTGGTGCCCTTTGTTTGGCCAAGCTTGGGCTACAGGGGCTGGTCCCAGGCCCCCTCCTTGTGCAGAAAAGGCTGCCTCAGCTCCGTATCACTCTTGCACGTCCACACGGCCGGGAGTCATACAAAGAACAGTGGCATCCAGACAGAAGATATAAAGTGGGTCTGGGGACCAGAGAACCCAGTGCCCCCAGTGGAGCAGCTACACATAGGGACCGTCTGAGACCGTGAGAGACACAGCCCAGAACTACAGGGCTTCTCCAGTCCTATGAGAAATCTGAGGTTTCTAATGTTGAGCCACCCCTTCCCAGTGCTGGCCAGTCTGGCTGTGACTGATGACTGGCTCTCCAGTGGCTAATGGAAGCATGGGACTTAAGGCCTTGGGGACCAGGACCAGGACAGATGGACCCATGACTCATGGAAGGAAGTAGAGTCACCTTCATGGAATACAGAAAGAGGTCTCAGGCCATGTCAGCAGGGAAGGGTCCTGAGGACACCTGCACGGGGCTGAGGGTAGGAAGACTGGCCACCGTGAGGCATAGAAATCACCCATATGGTAAGTATCCAACATGGAGGTAGGCCACCCTTGGGCTTGCATCCTGCTCCCCTTGCCTTCATGCTGTGTCACTTCAGGTAACTGGCACAACCTCTCTGAGCCTCAGCTGTGGCGTCAGGAAATGGAGCTAACACACCTCCCTGGCAGAGTTGCATTAGATGGGACGATGTAGGGGAAGCTGTGCCTGGGTGTCGTGAAAACTTGGTGTCCCTTTGCTACCTCCCAGTAACAGGCAAAACAGGTGGGTGGTAGTGCCCTTCCCATCCAAAACGCAGTCGTGAGAGGAAGAAAGCTGGGTCGGGGAGGAGGAAACTGGATACTGTGAGTCGGACAGGAAAGGGGAAGCAGGCAAATAGTACCCTTTGGAGAACATGAGGTATATAATAATCAGGAAGAAGTATAAATAGTGAAAGGTCTGTAGCAGTATTGTTTTTACTTCTGCTGTTACTCTCTGACGATATGATATTTACCACCTAATGCTCTTTTCATTACTGCTACTAGTACTATTACTCCCATAGCAGCTGCATTGCTGCTAATACTACCAGTATCGATACTACCATGCTAAGCCTCTAATGCTATCAGTTTCTCCTACTAACCAGCTGAAGAGTTCACTTGTATTGAGTCCTTAGATGTTCTAGACACTGAACAAAATATTGCACATACCTTCTCTCGCCTCCACAAAAATATTGAGAAGAAACTGAGACTCAGAGTGGCTAATGACTTGCTCAAGGCCACCCGGCCAGCAAGTGACAGAGCCAGAATTTAGACTCGGGAGGTCCCACTCCAGACCTGCACACTCGGGTACCAGGGCAGATGCCTTCCAGAAGGAGGAGGAAGGACGCTTGATGAGCCCAGGGTCCTGGATGAATGGAGGCCTGGTGCATCTCCGGGCAGGGCTGCCTTGTGAACGAGCCCAGTGAGAGCTGCCTTTGTGGAAAAGTCTAATAATGTCTCTCTTGCCTTGTCTCATGAAACCTGAAATTCCAGCTGAAGTCCAACTGCTTTTCTTTGGTTCTAAGCGCTTGCCCCTCTGTAGATTAGCCTTGTCCATTCGCTCTGTCATTTGAGGACCCCAGTGAGGGACACTGAGGCCGGGTCCCAGACGCGGACAGGCCTGACTTCCAGTTGTGGCTTTGTTTGTAAGCTGGGTGGCCCTGAGCCGGTCCCTTCACCACAGAGCCTCACAGAGTGTCCTGTCCCTCCGTCCCGGAGGCTGTGTCTGCCCTGCAGGCATCCACGAAGCATCCTTGTGACTCAGGGACACCTAGTAGAGCCCCAGGTGCAATACTGTTTGCAGATGAGACCCTCCCCCGCTCCCCCCTGCCACCACCATTCCCAAGGCCTAGGTCAGTGATGGCAAGAAACTAACACACTGTGTCTGGAAAAGACCTGGAAATTAGAGGTTTTTCAGCCATGCATTCAGCAAATATTTATTGGGCCCCACAGCATCCAGGTCCTGTGCAGGATGGCTGGACACAGTGCGAGTAAGGTGGCTGTGGTCCCTGCCCTCTGAGAAACTCAAGCCTCGGTGGAGAGGACAGACCTGGAATAAACCCCCCCCACCCCAGTGATGATGTCACTGTGATCGGTTCTACAGAGAACAGCCTGGAGGCTTTCTTGAGGAAACAACCCTACCGGGAAGGAGAAGATCTTCCCAGAGAGGAGAGCAGAGAAGGGCATTTCAGACAGAGGGAACGGCATTTGCGAAGGCCCCAGGTTCGGAAGGAATGTGGGTTCACGTCCCCTTTCTGCCTTTTTGGACTTGGTGTTCTCTGCACGAGATGCTTCCGAGCCTCAGTTTCCTCACCTGTAGAATGGGAACAACGCTGCCTGCCTCCCATGGTTCTGAGCAACTGAGAGATTAGGGAATATGAAGATGCTGGTATCTAGCACCGCTTCCCTGAATGCCTACAGAATCCAGAGGCTGCCCCTTGGCTCCTGGTTTCCAACCACCCCCCCGACACCCGAGGCCTCTGTCAGTACTGGTTGTTCCTCAGCGCAATTAGGTAATTAGGCCAAATTCAATTACACACCACACTCCCAGGTCTGTCTGGGGCCCGAGGGAGGCGTGGGCTCCCCTTGTTGAGGGGGAGCAGCGGAAACACTGGCTTGGTTCCCAGGACTGTGCCTTACTACCGTGTATCCCAGAATACTGACTGCATCCCAAATGGGGAAACTAAGTCAGGGAAAAGGCAGTGCTGTTTGGCCTCAAACTGTAGCATCCCCAGGGCTGAGATCCCTGGGCTGACTTCTTTTCCCTCCAGAGCACCCTAGCTCAGGCTGCTGGCCCACGGCTTGCCCTGCCTTTCAGATTCATCAGTGGTCCAGGCCCCAGTTTGGTGGGAGGGTAGGGTTCAGTGTCTCTGCCACTCCTAGATTTGTGGCAGTTTCCCCGCCCAGCTACAGGCTGGCACCCAGTCATTACTCAACGCTTTGTTTGGCATGTGGGTTTTTGCAGTGAGCCTGCCTACTACCTCCAGTAAAGCTGGGCAATGGGGCGCCTGGGTGGCTGGTTAAGCGTCTGGCTTCGGCTCAGGTCATAATCTCGCTGTTTGTGAGTTTGAGCCCCGTGTGGGACTCTGCGCTGACAGCTCAGAGCCTGGAGCCTGTTCTGATTCTGTGTCTCCCTCTCTCTGCCCCTCCCCTGCTCGTGCTCTGTTTCTCCCTCTCTCTCTCAGAAGTCGATAAACATTTAAAAAAATTTTTTTAATTAAAAAAAAAGCTGGGCAAGTCAGGGTTTATAAGTACCTTTAAGGGACTCGCTGGAGGCATCTAGACCTGAGCAACCGAGGTCAAGGGTAGCAAAAGGGCCTTCCCAGAGACCATGCATGAGACTTCCAGGGCTTTGAATATCAGTCTAGGAAGCTCAAACTTGAACTTGATCCTGGTAACACTGGAGAGCCAGGGAAGGGTTTAGACAAGGTAGTGATAAGGTCACATTTGCCTTTTATGATACCTTAGTAGGTTGAGAAGGGACCAAGGGGCCAGGGGCATAGAAAGAAATGCGGATGCTGTTCTGGGTGTCCAGAAAAGAGACTACCGGGGTGGCATGGCGCCATATGCAGAGGAAAAGGGACAGATGGTGACTCTCTGGTGGTGCTTTTTGCCCATGGCCAGCCCCTGGCCACCCATAGCTGGGCCTCGGAAGCTCCACTCGTGAGGTGAGGTTGTTTTAACCTTGATTCTGGAGTTTCTGGTTCTGAAGACTGTGCACGGCAGCTTTGGGGGTGAAAAGCCTTAACTTTGGATTGATTCATTTAATTCTAAAATGAAAGTGGTTTTATGGTTTTGTTTTTTCTAGTCACAAAAATAATACATACTCTTTATAAATAACTAAGGCATGCGGGAAATTAGAACAGAAGTGGAGCTGAAATCCCGCTAACGTAGGATAACACCTTGGTAAATAGCTATCGTTCAACAGATACGTGTTGAACACCTACTAGGTGCCGGGTACAGAGCCATCGGGGATATAACAGAGATCCAAGCAGACATACTCCCTGCTCTCATGGGGCTCCTAGTCTACCATAAGGGCTATATTTACAGATACGGTGTGCATAGAGTTACAAGAATGGACCTTCGTGGGCTCATTGCTTTGGAGCTGGCTTGTGGTAAGGCGATTCTGTGTATTGTAGCCAGCTTGTCAGGCCTGCCCCATCCTTTACAGGTGATCAGTGGGGATCAGCTCAGTTGGGACAGTTCCTTTAGGGGCCCTCACCAGTCCGCTTTAGGGAGACCGGTGCCCCTGCTAGCAAAGAGGCCCCGCATCTGCACGAGATGTCCATACTCGGTGGGGAAGCTGTGTCCCAGGAAGAGGTCGAGACCTGCTCTTGGCCACACAGCAATCCCCCAGCCTCTCTCCCAGGCCGCTCCTTTCGTGTGAGGACTCGGCCTCCGGTGGAGGGGTGTGCTGTTCTCACCTGCCAAGCTCGGCTCTGCGGATCCCGATTTCAACATCAGGCCTCCCACTCATTGCCCTGCCTTGGCGGCCACTTTGGATTTTCCTCAGACAGACATTCCGATGTGGCCTGCCTGCTCACGTCCGGCTGCTCCCCCACCCCGGCCCCCGAGAGGGGGGACACCTGGGACCACGCCGGGGAGCGAAGGAAGCCGCCAGATTCCCCAGGCTGCCGTGGGCTGGGAGCAAGAGGCTGGAAGGGAAGTGGGTACCACCGAGAGGGTCCTCTCCACTCAGGACTGTCAGGAGGAGGGAAGGAAGCACACCAGGGGATGAAGGGTTCCTGGTGGACTCTAATGGGCCTGGAAGGTTCGTAGAGCTCTTCTGTTGCTGCATGCTTCTCAGCCACCCATCCTCTCCCCTTACCTATGAGAGCACCCCAAGGCAGAAGAGGCCACAGAGGCCGTAGCCTACCAGTCTGAGCTCCCCTCTGCATTTCCGCCATCTTTAGCTCACACACCTCAGGTGACAGGATGCTCGTTAACACCCCTGGGTAGCCCCGCTTGTCCATCCTTTGAGCCCCCACCCCACCTTCCTCCTGTGTGTGACTCACTGTGGGTGAGAAAAGGAGCCAAGAGGTCCAGAGTGCGGCCTCCAACCTCCCCGTGAGGAGAGGGAGAACAGAATGGGGCACACCCTCCGTATCTGAGCCCATCGGCTCATAAGAAGAGGCAGCTGATGGACAAGAGGCCTGTAGAAGAGGGGGCCCTCACATCTGTCTAGCCCTTTACGGTTTGGAGGACATGTTCTTGACACTGCACGTGGTGAGAACACAGCGTTGGGAGGCATGGCTTGGGGCTCCGGAACAAGCCAGAAGTCATAGGGCTAGTTCCTGGCTCTCCCGCCGACCTGCTGTGTGATTGGAGGAAGCCCAGGCCCCTCTCTGAGCTTCAGTTTCTTCATTGAAAGTGAGGCTAGGGGCTCTTTACTCCAGTGTGAAATGAGTTCGTGATCCCCGATGGTCAAGCAGAAGCTCTGTAGGGAAGAGGGCCGGCGGTAACAGCCCACGCAGGCTGGGGGGCACAGGGGGCCCACAGCTGCTGGGGGAGCCTGCATTCGGCCCCGCCAGCCCCCCAGCCTTGGGCCTGAATGTGTGTGTTGCCATAACTCTTTGTCCGTCTGAGCCTCATTTCTTCCTCTGCCAAGCGGACGGCATCCCCCCGGGGCCTGCTTGGGCCTTTGTTCTAGGACGTATCGGAAGTGGGGTTCGGCTACCCTGGGCCCAGACAGAGAGACGTGCTGCACAGGCAGACAGACAGACAGCTCCAGCAGGAAGGGGAATTGCCTTTCCAACTTCAGGGAGCTTATGTCTGTCCACCCCTGGGCCCTTCCGGAAGCCCCCTGTGAAAGCTGTGTCCTGGGAGAGGCAGTAAAGCCCCAGGACTGCTGAGGCACGGACATTCGAGCCGCCTTGGCCGTCCCTTGCCTTCAAAGGCGACTCCAGAAATCAATGGAAAGAGATTCATTAGAGGCCTGGGTGGTGAGCCCCCCCCCCCACCTCCGGCAGCCCCTTTGTTAGTTGGCCTGTGCTTCCTGTCAGAACAGGCAGCCCCTGCTCTTCCAGACAGCAGGTCGGGTCGGGGGGGCCCCCTCTCTGGGCCGGGCGGGCAGGGGGAGCGGGACACCGCAGACCCTCCCGTTCACTCACTCATTCCCCGCCTCACTAATTCATTCAGGCAGCGGGTTCTTGTTTCATTCGTACAGCAGATACCCCAGATCTGCCCGGCATCCTTTACAACCTGCCAACGCAACAGGTACAAGGCAGACAGTAGTCACTGTTGACATGGAGCTTGCCTTCTAGTCAGGAGACAGCACTGACGAGAGAAGCAGTCGTCAGTGCTGAGGAGAGAGCTAAGTCAGGAAAGAGTGGGAGGAAGTGTGGGGAGAGGCAGTGTGTCTGAGGAAGCCCCCCCTCCCCTGAGAAGGGCTCACCGGAGGGCAGGAGGCCCGTGGGAGGTGGAAGGGACGAGAGCCCAGCTACCTGGAGGAGACCATGGCTAGTGCATCCGAAGGTGCCTCTGGGCTGCTTGTGGCCAGAAAGGCAGTGAGGCTGGAGCAGAGTAAACGGAGGGCAGACTAAAAGGAAGTGAGGTCAGCGAGGTGACAGGGCCCGGGCTGCGTGGGGTCTTGTGGGTAATAATAAGGGCTTTGGGACTTTACAGTGACTGAGCGGCAGCCAAGGCAGGAAGGGATGTGAGGCAAGGAGGTATGTGCTGTGGCTTTGGCTCTAACAGCCTCTCACCAGGGGTCTTGTTTTGTTAGGAATGTCATCACTGACGTGCCACCGCCGATTAGGCACCTTGAGCTACAGAGCTGCACCGTCTCATGATCACTGGGGGCCAGAAGGCCGAGATGTGAGATCAAGGTGTCACGTCAGCAGGCCACGCTCCTCGGAAGACGCTAGGGAAGGCTTCTGTCTCCCAGCTCATGGCGCCATGACACCATTGTCCCTAGGCCTACTTCCCCTGTGCATGTCTGTCTCCGTGTCCAGATTTCTGCTTTTTAAGGGGACGCCAGTCATATGGGAGTACGGCCCACCCCAGTGGTGACCTCATCTTAACTTGATCAGCTTGCAAAGGCCCGTTTCCAAATAAGGCCATATTCACAGGTACTGGAGACTAGGACTTCACGTTCTTTTGGGGGGACACAGTTCAGCCCACACCATCACAGCACAGCCTCCCCGCCTCTCCAGAATTATCTCCCTTTTCTCCTTGGGTCCCCCGAGTACCTGGAGTTAGGTGCTTTCACTTCCGTTGTACGAAGGAGGAGGTACGGGCTGAGGAAGGCTAGGTGACGTGTCCAGGGCGGCCAGCCTATCAGTACTTGTTTCCTGAGCCTCAGCCTCCAAATCCAGGCATGTCCCCTCTCTCCATGGCTCCTCAGCTAGCAGGGACGTGGCCAGTTCCCTCCTGGCTGCCAGCAGCCCCTGCCTGCCATTCTCTCTGTCCCAGCAGCCTGGGCAGACAGCCTCAGGCGGTGGGGGGAGGTGCACCTTCCCAGCTGAACAGTTAAAGGGCAGACAGCTCTTGAAGACCGCAGCCACCCGAGAACCCATTTTGTGCCTGGCTCCTGGGTTCCCACCCACGTCCTCTCTCCTCCTTCAGCCTGGCAGGAGGCTTTCCTGGGTCCCCAGTAACCTGGCAGAGACTCTCAGAGGTGTAGAGTAGAAGTGAGGGGCAGGGGTTAGTTTTGTTTTCTGAACCAAATGATGATAAGATTTGGGCAGAAGCCAAATGCAGACTTCTGGGAATGCAGTCTGAGTCTGGGATGAGGGCCCTGCTGGGGGGGACATCCAGGAAGGGGCGTGGGGTGTCATGATAGGAGGTTCTGAGCCAGGGAGCTCTCATTTCCCCACCATGTCCCAGTCTCCATCAGGTGGAGCCCCGGGCAACCAAAATGTAGGTGGATGCTTACAATTGCACAGATGGTAAATAGGAAAAAGAAACACAAAGAAAATAGTTCAGTGTATGTAATGTGGTGTGCTGGAAAAAGTATAAAATGAGATTCGGGGACACAGCTATCGTCACCTCAGCTCACTGGATGATAGTGACCTTGTGGTCCCTGTCCTCTGGACCTTTGCACCCCATCGTAGGAATATAGTATTCCTATATACTGTATATTCCTATATACACGGTGGTCCCAGTGCAGACTTCGCAGTCAGATTGCCAAGTAGTTTAAATCCTTCTGGCAAGTTGTTCAAACCTCTCTGTGCCTCAATGTTATCCTCTATAGAGTGGGACTAATAATCACAGCTCGTCAGAGAGGGTAGGGGTCACATGTTGATACGTGGATGGCGCCCGGAAGCTTGCCTGGCAAAGAGCAGACCCTCAGTCACAGTGAGTTCTGCATGACTAGGAAACAGGAGAGGCCTGGATCCAGCTTGGGGGTCCCAGCCCTGTCTCCCAAGCAGCAGTGCGCCCTCCTGCCACCCCCCCATGCATGGGTAGGGTTCTGAGGCTTGGCAGAGACACCTCCATTAGCTGGGTGCTGGACCTCATCAGTGCCTTTCTTCTTCAAGAGTGTACACCTAGAATTGAGGGGATTGACCAGAGCGAAGGAAGAAGGGAAAGGGGGCGGAGGGAACAGCATTATCAAGACTTAGGAGTTCGTGTACCAGCCCCTTGGAGGTGGGCAGGAGGAGCCCCAGGAGAAGGCCTCTGGAGACAAAGCCCCTGAGATGACTCCTGCAGTGGCTTGAGCCTTCCTGGACCAGCCATACTGGCAGTGTCACAGATGCCCCACTACCAGTGCACCCCTCCCCCACTGTGCATTCCTTTATTGAATGTAACTCTGGACCCTGCACTTACTTCATGGGTCTTGGGAGGGATCCAGTTGTATGAAAGTGGATGACCCCAGGTAGCTCCCAGGACCAGTGCTCATGCCTGTCACACTCACGCGGGTATCTGCCCAGGGCCTCCCTGGCTCCTTCATTCTCCTTCTGAGTGCTCCAGCCTGCATGGTGACATTTGTGAGTCACTGGGATCCTCGCTGAGACCTGCTGAATCAGCAAGCCCTGCTTGAGGAAGACCCAGCCCTTCAAAACTGAAGGCCTGAGAGCCATCGCTTGGGTTCATTGTTATGCCTCTCCTCATCCTCAGTCCGAGGGAGCCTGGCTTTTGTCTGCCCCCAGGCCTCCCACACAACGCCTAGGGCCTGGAAGCCCTGGGCCGGGACACTTGCGGACCCCCAGGGTGATCTACATCTTAGGCGGCTTTGCTCTTTACCCCCTCACCTGCGGGGGCTGGGGTAGGATACAGGAGGCACAGCCCTCCACAGGTTAGCTGGGGAGCCCTGGAAGAGGCTTATCCTGCACCCCTAGGCTCAACTGTGGTCCCCTCCCACCACGGTCCGGCAGAGGTGGGTTCCGCATGGCAGGTTCCCCCTGCTGGGTGAAGAATCCTCCCGCCCGCGCCCTCCGGAACGAGCCGCTGCTGCCTTCCTGGCTGCAGTGCTGTGATTTATTGGCGGCTCTTCCTCGCCAGAGCCCATGGCAGGAGGAGTTCAAACACCCGCAAGAAAAGCCACCCGCTATTGATCCCCACATCAGGCTTCCCGAGCGCTCGCGGACATTCATCAAGGAGCCAGGGTTCCGGGGCCACGGCTCTCCCTTTCTTCCTCCTTTCTTCTGCCTCCCAAGTCATTCCCCCCGGGCTGTGCCCCCCTTGCCGAGGTCACTTGGAGAGCTGGCCGAGTGACTGCCGGCAGAGGCGGAGTGTGGCTTTGTCTGCCGCCCCTTTCCTGCGGATCCTTATCGAGGCTCGCGCCCAGGGGGGCGGGGCAGGCCGCTTGGGGCTCCAGGCTTTCGAGCAAACCTTTGGAAGTTGGAGAAATGGAGTTGGAACAAGAAGTGAGGAGAGGCCCTTCTGGGGCAGCAACTGGTTCGAGTCCCGGAATTTCCGTAGACCTGGGGCCCGGAGTATTCAGAAGAGCTCGCTAACACAGTGAGCCCTCGAGGGGCTTGAATAGGGCCGCCCAGGCCTTGAAATTAGCATGTGAAAACCCTAGCTATGGCCGGGAGGACTTGTGGGCTGGCTGGTGAATGGATGCTTGAAAACAATTTGTTTTTCTAATTACCTAAATCTGCTGGTGGACAGTATTTACTTTTTTTTTTTTTTTTTTTTTTTGCTCACCTGGGGAAAGTAAAAAATGATTGGTCCCAGGCAAGTGGAATTTAAATAAGTGTGTTAATACTTTCCTCCCACCCCACCCCTGCAGAACTGGGAGGCTGGGAAGGCGGATCGGTGGGGTGTCTTACGAGTTTTCCAGGCGGTGACGCCAGGTCTGCGTCCCTCTGGTGTAAACCTTAGGTCCAGTCCGGATTATGGCTCAGCCTACAGGAAGTGGTTTTTCTGAACTCAGTGCCTGGGGGCCAGCTCCATGGTACCAACTCATACAAGGCATTTCAGGAATGAGCCTGGACATTTCAACCATTTAGGTCTTTTGCAGCTCAGAAGGCACTGAAAACCAGACTACTACTGTGAACTACCATTGCACAGAATTTCTGGAAGGGGAGGATCCGAGAGAACTGTATTCTGGTTATTTGAGGCCTTGGCTATTTGAATTCCGGATAAACCTGACATTATTGTTAAAACCAGATTAATGTTAGAAACCTGGTTTTGGGGTCATCTGTCTCCGTGTTTTCTTCTGAAAAGTAGACCACATTGTCAGGGCCCATCTGTTTCTGGGTGGCAGTGGCTGAGCACTGGGCTTTGGAGAACATTTTCTAGGGGATCTGCAGTGGGGACTGGGCCAGCTAAAGTGAGAAAGATAGGAGGGTCTTCACAGGACCATGGAGCTCTTCCCTCTCGGGATCCCAAACCCCTATGGGGCTGCGTCGGTGAGCTGGGCTCCAATGAATATCTCGCTGAATGACTGTCCTCCAAAGAACCCATTCTAACCCAAAATAAGGAAGACTCCTAAGAGGAGGTGAGATTGAGCAGAGCCTGGAATGTGTGCTGCGTTGAGAAGTACCTCTCCCTGGCTGCTTCTGGGGTTGGCCCTGCAGGAAGGGGATGCCAATTAATCTCTTGCAGGAAGCTAGTTCTTGTCCAAAAGGCAGCAAGTTATGAAGTATGAATTAATCCATTTAACCAGCTCCTCGGAGGGAAAGCCCATGACAACTGCGTTTCCAAATGCCATCCCCGAAAGTGATATTTCAAGTGGCAGTGGGTGGGATTAGAGCCTGCTAACGATTTATGTCAAACAAGGAGCAAGAACATAATTTCTAGATAAGTGATTTGTCTCCGCCACTTCCAGGGTGAGCGGGAGGGCAGACAGTAAGGTTTAGGGGCCAGCCAGAGGCTCAGCCTCAAACAGGAGGGGCGCATCTGAGAATGAAGTCTCCAGAAGCAACAAAGGCTGGTGGGCCTGGTCAGTTCCCACTCTGTCTCAGAGAGCAGTGAACAGCAGACAAGAGAGATTTTCAAGACGGTTCTGGCCACGTTCCTTTAGGATGAATGATGGGACCCCACTTACCTTCCTTGTCGTCTTAGATCACCAAGAAATACACACTGGCAGGTGGGGAGGGCTGGGGGAGGGGCTATAAAACGT